CAGGGCTGTGGAATGTGCTGACTGTTATCTGTGGGGCCAGGAGTCTCTGTTTTTACCTTGTAGGGCAGTTTTCATGCCCGGCCTTGTTTAATCTGTAGTTTCCTGGAAGGGGGCGGGGAATAGCAGGTCGGGGTCAGGGCATGTCTAGGCGTGTCTAAAGCAGCAGCCAAGCATTTTACAGAAGCTAAAAGAGCAATTAGTGGGGGTCTGGAGGGATTGAGGGGTAGCGGGTGAATGAAGAGGGTCTCGGGGTCCTACATGTCTACCATCCAAGTGCTAAGATTACAGGGTGTACCTGTATGTGGTACTGGGGATTGACCCCAGGGCCCTGTCTATGTCAGAGAAGCACTTTACCAACTGAGCCATGTCTCCAGCCCGGGAACTGCATCTTCAGTTCATGGCTAGTGGTGATTGTATTAGACAACATTAGCTGGAGAGTCATAAATTTTGCAGTCTTAAATAGAAACAAATTTACGTCTATATGAGCCAGTCATGAGGTTTCCTTTGCAAATGGGGTTAGCAGATGAAACGGGGGCGGGGGGGCAGGGGGCTAAACTTGTTTAATCCAGATATTAGGTGTGACTTTGGCCCTGAGTGTCTAGCAGACTATGATAAAGGTGGTGAGGAAGGCAGGCCGTGTGAGGGTAACAGGAAGAACATGCCTGAGCTGTCACCCAGTTATTTTCTCAAGAGGAAAGTCGGTGTACTCACTGAAGGAAAACATTCTTGCTCCTGTTGTTACCCACATGCACGCCATGACCCTGGCACTCCTCGGGACCACCATGTCCCTCTCTATCAAGAGGCTCCCGGTCTCCCGAATCTCCCAGTGGTTGTACACAGAAATATATGGGATGGTTTCTCCGGTGCCTGGCTTGGAGTTAGAGAGGACTTGGAAGTTCACCTCAAGATGAAATTCTAAGATTTACTTTAATTTTTATTTATGTGTATGTCTGTATGCCATGTGTGTGCAGGCACTCTCAGAGATCACAAGAGGGTGTTGGATCCCCTGGAACTGGAGTTACAGGCAGCTATCAGCTGCCTGATCTGGATGCTGGGACCTGAACCTGGGTCCTCTGGAAGAACAGTAATTGCTCTTAACCACTGAGCCATCTCCCAGTCTCGAAAGATGAAATTTTTAAAGTGTGATGCTTCAGCCTCACTGCGTGCCAGTACTTCCTGTTCATTGTTTAAAGGGACAGTGGGTAGCACAGGGTCCCGTCTGTTGTGAGACTGTCCGGTGGGCTTGTTCCTTCCCATGTGCTAAGATCCCCACAGACATTGGCTTTTCATTCTCTAATTTTGTTTAAAAATATTGCAGAGAAAATTGATTTGGTACCTATCATAAGGAAGAACTGTTATGAATTTTTTAGGTTTTGTTTATTATTTTTATTTTATGTGTATGAGTGTATTGCCTGCATGTATGTGAGTGCACCCGTGTCGTGCAATGCCGTGGAGGTTGGAAGAGGGCTTCGGATCCCCCTGGAACTGGAGTCAAGGATGGTTTGTAGCCGCCATGTGGGTGCTGGGAATTGAACCCAGGTCCTCTGCAATAGGAGCTGTCAGTGCTCTTAAGTGCTGAGCCATCTCTCCAGCCCTGAGCTGTTATGATTTTAACAGTTTTTGTGGATCCTAGTTAGTGGTTATTCAACTGAACACTATTGTTTGTTTGTTTGTTTGTTTGTTTATTTATTTATTTATTTATTTATTATCTTTTATAATTTGGAATCCTGGGACTGGAGATGTTGCTTAGTTGTAGACTGTCTAGCACGCAAGAGGCCTGGGTTCATCCTCAGCACTGCATACTCTGGGCATGGTGGTTCATGTTTTTAATCCTAGCACTTGTGAGGTGGAGGCAGGAAGATCAGTTCAAGGTCATCCTCAGCTACATACTGAATTGGCGATCAGTATGGGCTACTTAAGACTTTGTCACAAACGAGTCAACCAACCAACCACCAAAAACTACAATTTAGAATCCTAATTTTGCCAGGTTAATTTTCTAATTATTTGTAAATGACCTCATGACATATTTGGTGATACAGTGGTAACGTGTAGGAGGGGAACTTCCCCCTATTTCCCTTTGAATCTCAGTTGTGAGGATATCCGGTAGGTAGAAGGCCACGGGTGAGGGTACAGAGTGCTGGGGTAGCATCTTGTGTCATGCAGCTGGGCTTTCTGCTATGGGGATTCTCTTTTTCTGTTTTATTTCTCTTGTTGCGTTTTTCCCACTTTTTTCTTTGGAACTAGTTTCTAGCTCTCTTCTCTTCAGAATTATATTTAAAGAACAAAAATTAGTGTCTGATCTGTTTTCACTGGTACAGCACACTGTGCTGGCTCCTAACTGATGAGGCCTAGGTGTGTCCATTCAATAGATGTTCTGTGTGTGCATATGCGTCACCTTATCCACAGTAGGCAGATGCTCTACCACTGAGCTACACCCAGCCCTAGGCTTGTTCATAATCTATTCTCTGTGTGTGTGTGTGTGTGTGATCTGTCTTGTCGATCTTTATCATCTGTGCCCACATGTTTGTGTGTTTGCATCTGTATTTCCATCTCTCTCTCTCCCCTCTTTTTGTGTCTGTGTATCTCTTTAGCGTTATCCCCCCCTCCCCGTGGTTTATGTGTTTGTGTATTTGTGTTTGTGTGTATGCATATGTCTGTGTGTCTGTGTCTGCATATATGTGTATCATCTGTCATTTATCTTTGATCCCCCCATGTGCCTGTGTGTCTGTATTGCCATCTATCTCTGTCCTCTGTGTGTATATCTCTGTCTTACCTCTGTTTCTGTCTTGAGGTGGGGGGGTGTATGTATGCATATCTGTCTCTCTGAGTGTATCCTCTATCTTCTCTTTCTCTTCTCTGTGTGTGTGTGTGCGTGTGTGTTTATATCTCTATCCTCTCCCTTTCTCTCTGCTTATTTGTCACTGTGTGTTTGTGTGTCTCTCCATTTACCCTCTGTGTGTATCTGTATGTATGCGTCTCTCTCTCTCTCTCTCTCTCTCTCTCTCTCTCTCTCTCTCTCTCTCTCTCTGTGTGTGTGTATGTTTGTGTCTGTGCTGGAGAGCAAACCCAAGGCCTTACGCATTCTGCTCCTTCTGGATGTGAAGACCATAATATAAAATATAATAAGTAAGAAAATTTACGGAGTTCAGATAGATTCACTGTCTGCTTTGAAATATTTTGAAAATCTTTTAAAATTTATTTCTTTATTTTTTGGTCTTTTGAGACAGGGTCTCTTTGTAGCCCCAGCTGGCCTAGAACTTGTTATGTAGACCAGGCTGGACTCAAACTCACAGAGATCCATGCCTGCTTCTTCCTCCCAAGTGCTGTTATTAAAGGCGTGCACCACCACAGCAGGCTTTAAATTTGTTTTTAAGCTCATTAAAAAAACTTCTTTGGGATAAGACTGAAAGGTTCCATTCATTTTAGGATATATATCCCCCAGTCTGTTCATTTTCAGTAAGTTGAGTCACTGAGGAGATTTTTAACAGGATCACCTTTGCCCCCCCCATGCCACATATATACTGTCATTTGTAACATAAAAATATTTCAGTTAACAGCATATACAATAGTGTCCCATTTGATCACATCCCTTTGGCTATAACTAGATTAGCATCTTAGGTTATGAAGGTACATCTTGTGTTCATACAACTTCGAAGTTGCTAATGGCACGTTTCTCTATGTTATCCATGATCTCTGGTGTGTTACTTACTCTGTGTGACACAGGCCAAGGGAGTTAGAGAATTTGTATGCCAGATGCTGTTGGTCTTTGGGGCATGACATTCATAACTGCTTGGATTTTGGCCTTCTGTCCCCCACTTTACAGAGTCCAGTTAACAATGTGTCTCCGAGTCATCATTAAACATGATTTTCCTGGTCACTGGCCTGCGGTGGTTGACAAGATAGACTACTACTTACAGTTACAGAACACTGGGACCTGGCTTGGCAGTCTGCTGTGCTTGTATCAGCTGGTGAAGACCTATGAGTAAGTCCATTTCTGCTGACTGAGGGGAGCCACCTCATGTCACAGGCTCATAGAGGGTCTGCTGTGGGACTCTGTAGAATCTCAGTATGGAAAATATTGAATCAAATGCAGTTCACGTGTTTACCTGCTGCTGACTCAGTGGCACTTTAGTTTTCTATTGTGTGCTGCTGATTCCCAGGACAGTGAGTGATGAGCTAACAGTGCTTCTCAGGCTTGCCAGATCAAAGGGCTGTTGATCAACAGCTTCCTTGGGGTCTGGCATTTGGCCTCTGGTGAGCCTTTTAAGTAAATGGACTCCAGGTAGAGATCTAAGGGTTTCTTTGGGGCATAAAATTTGCCCTGAGGTTCAGGACTGGGGTTACAGTTACTGGTGAGGTGCAGGGCTGGGGTCACAGTTGCCCTGAGGTGCAGGACTGGGATCAGTTACTGGTGAGGTGCAGGGCTGGGGTCACAGTTGCCCTGAGGTGCAGGACTGGGATCAGTTACTGGTGAGGTGCAGGGCTGGGGTCACAGTTGCCCTGAGGTGCAGGACTGGGATCAGTTACTGGTGAGGTGCAGGGCTGGGGTCACAGTTGCCCTGAGGTAGAGGACTGGGATCACAGTTACTGGTGAGGTACAGGACGAGGATCACAGTTGCTGGCACTCTGTGATGAAGAAAAGTAGTTTTTCTTTGTTTTGAGACAGGGTCTCACGTGGTAGCCCAGGCTGGCCTTGAACTTATGATAGTCCTCTGCCTCCACCTCCTGAGTGCTGAGACAGGTCCCAGCCACTATTCCTAGATAGCTTCCCTTCTTTTTTTAAATAAGATTTATTTGTTTAAGTATATGAGTCTTTTGCCTACATGTGTGTATGTGCACCACATATGTGCAATGCTTGCAGAGGCCAGAAGAGGGTATTGGATCCCCTGGAACTGGAGTTACAGATAGTTGAACTGGCATGTGGGTACTGGGAACTAAACTTGGGTCCTCTGCAAGAGACAGTGCTCTTAACCACTGAGCCATCTCTCCAGCCCCTAGTTTTCCTTCTTGACGGTGGTACTTCAGACGTCCTTGCAGAATTTTTAGAGACCCTCTTAGATTGAGAGAAATGGAAGTGATCTGAGAGCACTTGGACTTGTAAAGTATGTTTCTCTCAATGCAGGGTGATAGAAGAAAATTTTATCAATGTCATTTACATACAATATAATGTCTAAGCTAGCACATCAGTTTGCATTTTATAGGGTTAATTGATTTGATGAGTGTTAAATACTAGAAAAATTCATATATGAAAATTACTAGATAATCTTGAATGCTTGCCTGCCTTCCTTCCTTCCTTCCTTCCTTCCTTCCTTCCTTCCTTCCTTCCTTCCTTCCTTCCTTCCTCCCCACCTC